GGGGCGCTCTGGTGACCCCCCCGCCCCCCTGGGCAGGTCCCCCTCCCCGGAGCCCATCTACAACAGCGAGGGGAAGCGCCTGAACACGCGCGAGTTCCGCACGCGCAAGAAGCTGGAGGAGGAGCGGCACAACCTCATCACCGAGATGGTGGCCCTGAACCCCGACTTCAAGCCCCCGGCTGACTACAAGTGAGGGGGGCTACCCCACCCCGATTTGGGGCCGATTCTGCCTGGTTTGGGGCTCCCCTGAGGGGCTGAACCCCACCTTTCACCCCCCAGGCCGCCGGCGACACGAGTGAGCGACAAGGTGATGATCCCGCAGGACGAGTACCCCGAGATCAACTTCGTGGGGCTCCTCATCGGACCCAGGTGGGCACCCCGAGACTCAGGGGGTTGGGGGGACTGTGAGACTGGAGAGGAGTCCCCTGGGCTTCACCCCAGAAATTTGGGGAGCTCCTAATGACGCTGGGGTGCTGCTGGGTCCCCATCTTGTCACCTGTGGGGTCCTGATGTGAGTGCCCCTGTGGGTTTGTGAGGTGCCCCCCCAATCCAACTGGATGACCCCTTTCCCTGTCTGGGTTGTGTTTCCTCTCAGTATCCCCCAAAATATTCAGGTGGGTGACCCCCTTCCTCTCCCCCTTCCTGGGTTGTGCCCTGTTCCTCACCCTAAATAACTTGCAGGGTGCCTGATGATACCCTGTGTTCTTAATGAGCTTGAGCTCCTAATGAGCCATGTGCTGCTGGGTCTGCACTGTCCCCCAGTGGGGGGGGCTCCAATGGGCCCGTGGGCTCCATCCCCCCCGTTTTGGGATCCCCCATTCCCAGGGGGAACACGCTGAAGAACATGGAGTGTAATGCCAGAGTTGTGATCCAGGGCAGGGGCTGCAGCGTCCCGGTGTGCTGGACCCGTGGGGTATCCCCCAAGTCCATCTGTGACCCCCTTGTTCTGGGTGCCAGGGGGAACACGCTGAAGAACATCGAGAAGGAGTGCAATGCCAAGATCATGATCCGGGGCAAGGGCTCGGTGAAGGAGGGCAAGGTGGGCCGCAAGGACGGGCAGATGCTGCCGGGCGAGGACGAGCCCCTGCACGCCCTGGTCACTGCCAACACCATGGAGAACGTCAAGAAGGCTGTGGAGCAGGTCCGTGGGTGTCCTGGGAGGGCTGGGGGGGCCCCCGGCAGTGCATACCCCCCCTGACACTCCCCGTGCCCCCCAGATCCGGAACATCCTGAAGCAGGGCATCGAGACCCCCGAGGACCAGAACGACCTGCGCAAGATGCAGCTGAGGGAGCTGGCACGGCTCAATGGGACCCTGCGGGAGGACGACAACAGGTCAGGGGGGCCCCACGCCCCCAGTTCACCCCAAATAACCCCCGAGCCCCCAGGTAACCTCCCTGTCCCCTGCAGAATCCTGCGGCCGTGGCAGAGCACCGAGACCCGCAGCATCACCAACACCACCGTGTGCACCAAGTGCGGCGGCGCTGGGCACATCGCCTCTGACTGCAAGTTTGCCAGGTGACCCCAGAGTAAACCCTCAGGTCTCCCTAAAATCCCCCCAAACCCTGCTGAGACCCCAGAAAACCACCACCCCCCCCGAGATCATCCTAAAGCCCTTGAGATCCTCTCTGACTCGCCTGAGATCCCCCCAGACCACCTGAATTCTCTGCAAATGCTCCCTAAATCTCCTGAGACCTCCCCAAACTCTTCCCAAATCCCAAGGTTCCCCGAATATCTCAAGATCTCCCCAAACCCTCTGCAGAACC